TCTGGGGATCCTGACGTGAGGCTTAGAGCTCTCACTCCTGTGGGAGGGCCTCTGCAACTGAACTATTCTTCAGCTTGTGGGTCACCCACCCTGGGGGTATGGGGCCCAATTATATCAGCATTACGTCCCTCCTACCATCCTGCTGTGGTTTCCTCTTTTTTTTTAACTTTTTTTAATTGAGTTATAGTCATTTTACAATGTTGTGTCAAATTCCAGTGTAGAGCACAATTTTTCAGTTATACATCAACGTACATATATTCATTGTCACATTTTTTTTCTCTGTGAGCTACCACAAGATCTTGTATATATTTCCCTGTGCTATACAGTACAATCTTGTTTATCTATTCTGCATATGCCTGTCAGTATCTACAAATTTCAAATTCCCAGTCTATCCCTTCCCATCCCCCTCCCCCTTTTATCTTCTTTATGTTTCCTGTTGCAGAAGGTCTTTTTTGCTAGGTCCCAGTCTTTTTTTCAATGGATGTTTAGCATTCAGTTGTGGTTTTGTTGTAGTCACGAGGAGAGATAAGCTCATCATCCTACCACTCTGCCATCTTGACTGGAAGCCTACTTTTTTTGTCTTCCAGTATTTTAAAGATGTTTCACCACTGTCTTTTTTATTGTTTCTGACAAAAATTCCACTATTGTGTTTACATATATAATGTATCTTTCTTTCTCTACGTGCTTTAAATTTTTTTCTCTTTATCATTGGTTTTAAGAAATTTGATTACAATATACCTTGGTGTAGTTTTCTTCATGTTTCTTCAACTTTGGGTTTGTTGAGCTGTGAGTTTGTAGTTTTCATCAAAGTATAAAAACAGCCATTATTTCTTCAAATATTTTTCTTTTCTTCTCCTTTCTTTCTAGGACTCCGATTATGTGTACATTAAGCCACTTGAAGTTGTCCCACTGATGCTTTCATTTAGGATAGTTTCTGTTACTATGTCTTCAAGTTTACTTCTCTTTTCTTCTGCAGTTTGTAGTTTATTAGTCTCATTTTGTATATTTTTTATCTCTACAACTTTGATTTGGATCTTTTTTATGTCTTTCATGTGTCTCCTTAACATGTACACGCTTTCCTCTACCTTCCTGAATATATAAAGCATATCTATAATTGAAATGTTTGTTCCACTTACATGTAATATAGATACTGATAGAGCTGGGTTAAGCTATGTTGCTCTTTGGTTTTTTATTTGCTCCATCCTCTTTGTTTCTCTTTTTATTTTGTTTACTCAGGTATTTTAAAAATTGTTTTATCACCTCTTGGTTTTTAACAGCTTTATTTATTTTCTTATTGATAAATAAATCACATACCATACATTTGACCCATTTAAACTGTACAGTTCAATAGATTTTAGCATATTACATTATAATTTTTTTAATTTTGGTGAAATATATAGAATATAAAATTTGCCATTTTAATAATTTTAGGTGTGTAATTCTGTGACATTAATAAAATTCATAGTGTTGTGCAACCATTATCACTGTCAGTATCCCAAATAGAAATTCTGTAACTGTTAATCAATAACATTCCCCCTACCCCAGCCCCTGGTAACCTCTAATCTACTTTCATCTCTATGAATTTGCCTTTTTTAGGTTCCTATAATTGGAATCCTACAATTATTTGTCCTTTTGTAGCTGACTTATTTCACTTAGCATCATATTTTCAAGTTTCATCCATGTTGTAGCATGTATCAGAACTTCATTTCTTTTTATGGCTGAATAATATTCCATTGTAGATATACTGTATTTTATTTATCCCTTCATCTGTTGATGGACCCTTGAGTTATTTCCATCTTTGAGCTATTGTGAATAATGCTGCAATGAGTATTGGCATGTAAGTATCTGTTTCAGTAATTCCCTGCTTTCAATTCCTTTGAGTATATACCTAAGAATGGAATTGCTGGGTCATATGGTAATAGTATGTTTAGCTTTTTGAGGAACTAAAAACATTTCCTCATAGTGTTGCACCATTTTACATTCGCACCATCAGTGTGCAAGGGTACCAGTTTTTCCACATCTTCACCAGTACTTGTTATCTTCCATCTCTTTATTATAGCCATCCTGATAGGTATGAAGTGCTATTATGTCATTATGGTTTTGATTTTCATTTCCCTAGTGACTAATGATGTTGATCATATATCCATGTGCTTATTGGTAACTTGTATATATTCTTTGGAGAAACTATTCAAGTCCTTGCCCATTTCTTAGTTGAGCCTCATCAGCTGCTAAGGAAAGCTAAGGTAACCATCTACATGGAGTGGAGAGGCCATCAGGCTGGTCAGCTTGCCCTTGTTATTCTCATAGGGATTTTTATATCTTCTTCTTATTCTCTTCTACCTACACCCACCCACTCCCTCATCTCTAAGGGAAGCTTTGGTAAGGTGTAACAAGTGTTTTGGTTTTAAATAGGTGATTTGTCAATATTCTAATACCTACCTGAGGATTGTGGAGGAATCTACATCCCAACCTATTGAATCATGTACTTCAATAACAAAGTAAACATAGGTTTATTAGTTTCATTGCTCACTACTTTTTCTTATTCATATTATCTTCCTCTTTCTTGGATTCTTTATTGTGATTTAATTGTGAATAATTGCAAAGAGTTTAAGCAACTGAGAATTTCTATATATGATTTAGAGGACACACTATATATGATTTAGAGGACACACTCCCCAAGCCATCCACAATTTTGACACCATTAGCAAGTTGTTTGTTCCCAAAACCACCCTCAGGTTTGATAATTCACTAGAAGGACTCACAGAATTCCAAGAAACCATTATAGTTCTGGTTTATTACAAGCAAAGTTTACATATTAAGCTCAGCCAAAGGAAGAAGCACATAGGGTGGAGTTTGGGGAGGTACCAAACCCAGAGCTTATGTTCTCTCCCCATGGAGTAATGACACATTACTCTCCCAGCATAGATGTATGATAACATACACATAGTATTGTACAATAAGGGAAACTTGCCCAGGCTTCATTCTTCAGTTTTTATTGAGGTTTCATTACATAGGCATGACTGACTAATTGCCCACTTGTTTGATCTCAGTCTCCAGTCTCTAGCTCCTCTAGGTATGACCCAAAGCCCCTATCCTAAATCATGTACTTGGCCTTTCTGGAGTGACTAGCCCTGCCCTAAATCACATTGTTACTATTTGTCTAGCCCATGGCCCCCAGCAAGAAAAGGTTACCAGAGGAGGGTGTAGCTCAGTGGGCATGCCTAACATGTACAAGGTCCAGGGTTCAATCCCCAGTACCTCTGTTAAAATAAATAAATAAATAAATAACCTAATTACCTCCCCAACCCCCGAAAAAAGGAATGAAAAACTAGAAAAGTTTACCTCCTCGAAGCTGAGGGCAAAGGTCAAACCCCTTTTGGGAAACGTTAAGTTCTTTAGTATGCAGTACAGTTGGTAGGCATTTGGGTTGTTCTGAGTTTTGAGATAAGACAAATAGTGCAGTTAGAAACATTTTTGCATATGTCTTTAGGGGAACTTGTGCATATATCTCTGTTGAATACATACCTAGGAGTGGAATTGCTGGGCTGTTAGAGATTTTCATTGTTTGTTTTAAAGTGCTTATGTGCTGGTGGGAATGGTTCAGTAGATATTGAGAAGTAGATGTTGCAAAAGAAAGTGGATAAACAAAAGAGTGAAGTTCTTTAGGTTTGGGCCCTTATACAAGTAAATATATAATCTTCCTATGGAAATTGAACATGTTCTTATGGTTCAAAATCTCAGGATTATTCTGGACAGAATAGGCAGATGCTTTTTGAGCCAACTGGCTTATAAGGAGCCTTTCTTATTGAAAGTGTAAAGAGGAAAAGGCTTTTCCACTAGTGGGAAGAACTAGAAGCATGCTAAAACATCACGTACATTGCTACAGTGGAGAAGAAAAAAGGAGGGAAACCTTTCCAGCTGTCTTATAATCCTTACCATATACATGGCAGAATATACCATATTCCCTGCTTTCAGGAACTAGTGGTTATGAATGGCGAGTCTGTACCTGTGAAGAGAGGGAATGGGGTAAAGAACATTGGAACTTCAGCAGAATTAATGAAAGTAAAAGTATTGTAGGTATTATTGCAAATCAATCATGTAGACAATTCTAGGGGTCAAACAATTCATGCTTTTTTTTTCTAGTCTGTTACCTTCAAAACAACCAGCAGAAATCTTGCTCGAGCCATGTGTATGAAGAATCTCAAGCTCACTATCATCATCATCATTGTATCAGTTGTAAGTTTTTGTCCTTTTAGTGTGTGATTTTATTTTTCAATTTCTAAGAAATTAGGTGCTGGAATTCTTTCTCAATGATTAGCACTCTGAAATGAGCTACATATAACTTCTAGTGGTGAAACATATGACCTGGCATTGGCTTTCCTATGAAGTCACTATGACATATCATCTCTACTTAAACCCCATCTCTCTATTGAGAATTCTTATATGTAAGCAGTTATTCAAGGCATTCCAATATTCCTGGTTATTTAATGGTTTTCTTGCTACTAAAATGGGATCCTTTTAAAATTACATTTCCTAATTGACTCCATATTTTCTGATTACATTTATATTTTCTAGTTAATTTCATATTCTATTTCTTTATTTCTGTTTTTTCTCTTTTCTAATTCATGTATTTTGTTTCTGGCAACCTTCCATAACTTTTATTAGTTGTAATAGCTTGTCAGTTTATTCTTCTGTATTCTATAGGTCAGGAGTCAACAAACCTTCTGTAAAATCCAGATAGTAAATATTTTTAGACTTTGCAGACCACATACAGTCTCCGTCACAAATTCTTTGTTTTAGGCAAGCGTTGAAAAATAATATAAGAACCATCCTTAGCTCACAGGCCATGGCTACAGTTTACTGACTCCTGCTATAGGTAAATTATGATACCATTGTTAACAATTTTAACCCCATCATTCATATATATAATGTAATTTTATATAATTATTAATTGCGTTATATAATTATATATAATTATATTGCATTTATGAGCAGTGTTCAAAAATTATGATATCAGTGGGCATCTATATTTAGTTCCTAGTTTTAATTGGAGTGTTTCTAATATAAGAGTGATATACTGTGAATTCTTGTTAAACATTTATTGTCAAGTTAAAGAATGTTTTATTTCTATATTGCTAAAATTTTTTATTGGGAATAGACATTTTAATTTTAAAAAATGATACTCTCTACCCAGTGAATTGATATCAAACTATCTACATTTAGTATCAATGTATTGAATGGCATTAATAAAAGCACTAATAATTAACTGTTCTTTCATTTGTGGGATAAGTATTAAGAGGTCATTATGTAGTATTCTTTTAAATCATGGTGAGTTCAATTTCTTAATATTTATTTAGTAGTTCTCTTGTCTGTAAATATAAATTAGTCTGTATGCTGTTCTCCTTTTGAAACCCCAATATAAACAGATACTGGACTTCTTTGAACTGTCCTGCATGTCTGGTAACATTTTTAATATGTTTAAACTCCTTTTTTTTTGCATCAGCTTCTGGATGAATCATTCAGCTAACTCTTCCAGCCCTATTCAGCCTGCTATGTAGCTCTTATTTTTTTTAATTAATTAATTTAAAATTTTTTATTTTTTCATAGCCAGTTTTTAAATTTCTAAGAACTCTTATTTTAACTTTTTTCCAGTGGAACTTGTACTTGTTAACAGATGTACGATCTCCTTGAATTTTTCTGGATATATATTAAGACATACATCACAGGGAATTAGCTTATGCAATGGCAGGAGCTGGTTGTCCAGAAGGGCTGACTGGACTTGTGGGGACGGGAGCAAAGCTGTATTAACATGCAGAATTTCTTCATCAAGGAAACCTGGGCTCCACCCTTAAGGCCTTTTAACTGATTCAATCAAGCTCATTCAGATCATATAGGATATTGCCTTACTTAAAGTCAACTGTTTATGAGCCTTAATCACATCTACAAAATACAGCAACACTTAGATTAGTGTTTGATTGGATTACAGTGTACTGTAGACTCCCCAAGTTGACATATAAAACTGACCTCACAGGAATATAGTTATGTTTATATGTTATGGATATTTTTAAAATTTTATTTCTAATACGGTAAGTACTGATAGTTATAACTGCCCCTAAACAAGAACTCTTTGAGGTCCTCACTAAGTTTTAAGAGTGTAAAGAAGTCCTCGAACCAAAAGTTTGAGAGCTGCTGCTCTAAAGAGTGGGGGAGGGGTGCTTTACTTTGGGGGTACTTTGTGTCTGGGCAAAGCAGTCTTTCCTCCCCATCATCTTGTCATTTACAGAGGCTCAAAGTTAACTTTGCACAGATACCTCTGACTTGGTTTCACTTCTCCTTGACCCCTTGCTCAGGATCCTCAGGTGGCACATTCTAGGCTTCTCAGCTTAGTTTCTTCCTCCTTTTTTGACCTAGGAATTTAGATTGATTTGTGAAGCTGGATTATTGTTAAATTCAGATTATACTTACCTAATACATGCAAAGTACTTTGCCAACTCTTTGCCAAAAGGTGTTGTCACCTAACATATAACACTTCAGCTTTAAAAATCCTTATATTTTATGTGTGGCAAATAGTCAACTTTATATCAAATTGGAATATCTATGTATGTGTGAATGTGATGTGAGTAGTTTAGCCTATTCATTAATAACCAGAATTTTCTGTAACCTCCACCCCTAACATTTGTAGAGAAGTAAGAAAAAACACTTTGCTGACTTTAGGGAGGGGGCATGGAATTCATAATATACTTTTTTCAAGCATGTAAGTAATGAAATCAATCACTTAAAGATCTTTAAAAAGTTGTAGATTAAGGCAAAACAAAATGACTGGTTTAATACAGTGAACCTAATGTTTAAAAAACATCTATTTTTGGAATATAGTAATGTGAGCAAGCATATACCATTAAGAATATCATAATTTAAAATTATAATAACATAATTAAAAGACTAATACATCTTTAATAGGACTTGCATTTTGCTGTTACTTCTATCATCAGCTTTCCTTTGATTGGGTAATTATAATTATTGTGTCATTATATACTAAAAGGTTCATAGTAACATTCTTGCTCATAGGTGATACAGATGTAGAGTCTACTCATGATTTGTAATATTTTTAATCATTCTAATAATGAGAAATTAATCCATGTACAAAACCTAAAAGTGTACTGAATTATAGAATCATTCTTCAAGGGAGTTACATTAATTTGTTATCTTTATGACAATGATACATCAGTGTTGCTCTTATATTTTGATTCTGTCTACTTTCCAGTGAAGAGAAACACCACCACTGCTTTCTCTCCCACTGATGAAAACATAGTGGAATTCAGATGGGTGAAAGTTGTATCAGAAAAGATCATTTTAATTCCACTTCTGTCTTTGAAAATACTTGATTAGTGTATTATTACACAACTGCTACTATAAGTATTTGTTAATAGGTCTTACCATTATATATTACTTAGGAGCCTATGATAAGTTCAAGAAAATAAAATTGCCTTCCCCCTCCCTCTAGGTATTCATCTATATTATTGTGTCACCTCTCTGTGGTGGATTTACATGGCCAAGCTGTGTGAAGAAATAAAAAAAGTTATCATTTACCAAGAATACGAGAGAACAAGGAGTTTAAAGCAATCCGTGTGATTCAAGCTTTTTAATACTGACAGGTGGTGTCTGCCAGTCTCTTCAACACTCTTCTTTCTCTTTCGTTTTTTTAATCTTGATCTGTGCCTCCAGATTTATCTTTGTCCTACCAACCAATTTATTCCAGTGCACTTCAGATGGAACCATTTTTTGCAGCAGTAGCTTTAAAAAGGCATTTTGTTTGTTTCTTTGGTTTTGTTAGTTAATGTCATCTACTTACAGAAACATTTTTGTTTGTAACTGCACAAAGCTATCACCAAGGTGGAAACCACCTGTTTTATGAGATGTCTACTAAAACTATGGATGACCTTTGTGCATACAGAAGTATTCAGGAGACAGTATTGCCAACATCTCACCTTAATGTCTTTTGATTTTGAAGGGTTTTAGGTGCTTAAAAATAATATATATGGGGAATTGTTATTTGAGGAATTGCAGTTAAACTGTTGATAGTGCTTACTTCTAGCAGTCCAAGCAGGTAAAGTATTCAACATTTTATCCCAGTCAGTTGGGGAACATTTTGCTAGCCCATTAGAAGCACAGGGAATTATCCTTGCCCTCCTACTATTTACTTTTAGGAAGAAAGTTTTGATCATTCACAAACCTCACAGATCTTAATATCCTTTGTTTCCCCACTGCAGTTGATTTGAGAAGATGGTGGCTTAAATATTGTTGAAGGTTGTGGGGTTTTATATATTCTTTTTTCTTTGATGGATATGTAGGGCAATTGTATAGATAATAGAATGGATAGTGGAGGAAGTGGGAAGGCACATTCCTCTGGCTCACCAAAGAAAAAGAAGAGAACCACAATGGATGTGCACCATTTTAGCTGTATGAAGGGAGGTAGTGTGGGGAAATTTTTGCAGCCTGGGAAAAGCCCAAACAGAATATGGTTAACAGTCAACTCCAGCGTTTGGGTTTGACTGGTGTTGAATAATAGTTTGGGTATCCTTTGTGGTTTAATAAGTTCTTTAATCTGCCTAGTTTTGAAGAATTTTGTGAGACTTGAAAGTAGACAGTATGATGTATAGACACAATACAAGACAGTTTAGCTAACATCCATGTAACTTCAGTGTGAAAAAAAACTGGAGTGTGATCATACTGCTTTGGCTACTCTGGCATCTGTTAGCTAGTGTGTATTTTTGGTGTGTATCTGAAAGGATGATATTTGCTGCCCTAGATCTAATTGCATGTATTTATCAACAAATGCCAGTAAATGGAAATTATACTACATTTGACTACTTTCCCAATGATATAACAGATTGATCTATAAAACGTAGCCACCTGTTTAGCCTAGTCATGTGCCTTGAATATATATGTGTCACATAATCATAATACCTGTTCTTCCATCTAAACCTTTCAATTCATGCTGATTCATTTATTTGATGTATATTTTTGACTCAATGGAACTCTTTTCCTGGTGATCATGTATAGTGCAAATGTTTTTTCAGTCCTCTTTATCAACACTAATGCCTTTTAATTACATCAGCATTTCCTATTGGAAAACAAATTTGTTCCATGGAAACATTTGGCATTCCTGAATAATAATTTCCAAATGTCTTAAATCCAAAGAAAAATACTTAAAGCTTATTTCCCTTTCTTATACACACCTGAATAAAAATGATGTGCATGTTTTAGGGATAAATTACTTAACCATCCCTTGGTCTATTTATGTATAAGAATGCTTTTAAAGCACGTATCTTGTTTTAAATGACGCACAAACTGAAGGCATTAATAAAATTTAAGAGTAATACGATGAGTTGCTTGTTTTAGAATTTCTTCTTGGAATCTAATTTCTTCTGGTGACATTTTGCCATACTTTACGGAACAAAAGTATTTTACTTATGCTGAAAATACATTAAAAAGTGTGACCTGGAGCCTTTCGGTAAAGAGCTATATATAGCATTGTCTCAAAAGTACAAAATTTCTTCAAAACCAAAAGACACAAAAGAAATTTAAAAATATGTAGGCCATACTGAAACCAGTGAAAGATCCTGAAATGACCACACAACCTCTACAGCCATCATCCTGAGACCATGGTTGAGATAGAAGAGAAAAAGAACTGCAGGGATTATAGTCCAATTCAATACAACTCTGACTGGTTCTGAAAGAGATGGCTCAAAGGAAGGCATAAGAGAGTGGGAGAGAATAATTCATTGTAGCAAACAGTTTTAGATAAATGGAAAAAGAAAAAGAGTGGCAAAGATCAAATGTACAAAAGGCTGGGCCACAGCAAAACAATAATCAGTCACTTGGAGCCTTTGAACCTAAGTAACTTGAAGTCAGGAATGGTTGAATATGTTTTTGTACAGGCTAGAGCAACACGAAAACAGCCCATTTATCTCTCCCCAGGCCTTCTCCACATTTCAAATGAAGTATGCATTCCCTAACCAGACACTTAGAGGAACAAAAAAAGATGGCTATTTATTTGGTTGTTACGAAAAAAGAAGTGCCACAAGATAATTATTTCTCTTTACTTAAAACCCTTGGCCCTGAGGTCGAATAGTGTCACAATCCATAAGTTTCCTTTCGAATAAGTGGATATGGCTTCTATCAGATAATGGTTCCTCCTTGTTTAGCTCTGCTGACACCTCTTTCCCAGCCTCAAGACAGATAAAGACATTGGGTTGCTTTCCTGAGTATCTTGATGGAAATTGATATAACAACAATAGCAGCCCTAGACCCTCCTACAGTATTCTACATGAGAAGCAGGTTTGTCTGTACTGCATCTTTTCAAGGATAATAAATGGGGTAGAGTGTTAGTGGTGGTGATTTACCTATGATTCAGTTTGAATTCAGTGAGGAAAACAGAGCCAAGACAAGTATTATGGAAACAATGGATTTAATACTGGGTTCAAGCTTACATAGGTGTATGACAAAGCAGGGACAGAAGGCCTGGAAGGGAGGTGCCAAGGGATCAGAGGACCAGTCCTAAGCATTTCCACTTGAAGCACTGGTACTGAGGAACAGGTTGAAGCTTGCTGGAAAACCTGAGAATCCCTTCATGTCCGTTTGCCAAAATAAGTGTGACAGATGTGTAGAAAGCTTTGTGGAAGCCACAGACTCAGTAGACCAGATGTCAAGTACCCAACTGTGTCTCCAGTTGGCCAGCAGGACAAGTAGGCAACAGGATGAGCTGGTTGTGGAGTGAAGGAGATTGGGGAAAAGCTTGGGTATACTGCGCACCTTAGCATCTTCATATCTGACTGTCCTGACCTCCATAGAGTATTGGCCTCCACTATCTTTCTGCTTTCCGAGTCTCACATGAGTTCATTTCACTGGCCAAACATAATTCTGAAAAAGTATACAGAAAGGAGTTTCAATAGAATTCCCAGCTTCTGGCAAGAACAGTGATGCCAGTCTAGCACAGCCAAATTCTTCTTAGATTCATTCTTAAGATCAATTCAACGGCCTTATCTTATGGAGAAAGACCATTTGAGTAAGTTGTAGCATTCTTTTGGTCAAGTTACATTACACAAAGTTATTTTGGATTCGTGCTGTTTATTAAACCAAAACATTATCTAAGCCTGAAATATGTTGTGACTTGTTATATCTCTTCCAAAAAGAAGAAAAACTATGATGATACTGTGTATAAGAAAATTTATATTATAGGTTGACACCGTGATTTACCTTTTTTAAATCGCATTCCAAGTTTGGACCAGCATAAAGAAAACTTTAGAAGTCTCAAGCACAGAGAGAACACTAAATTCAAGAGTACCCCTTATAGACGTTCACTTCTGGCCAAGATGGAGTAACAGGGACTGTATTTACCCTCCTGCCTGAAATAACCCAATAAAGGACAAAATATTTGAAACAACCATTCTTAAGACGCTGGACTCCAGGAAGTGAAAGGCAGTGATATTTCAAAGAGCTGAACCCAATTATTGCCCCAGTTTACTATGTTGAAAGAGTATCCAAGACACAAGGCACTGAGAAGGAACACAGGAAGAGCTTGATGGGTTCCTTGGATTGACACATGATAGATTTCCAGGGAGACCTTTGCAGGGCATGGTATTGGAGAGAACAGTTGCAGAAAGAGGACTCTAGAGTAATCTGAGGAAACTACCCAATGCTAGGGAAAGAACTACCCAAAAAAGATTAGAAGGAAGAATATCCTACACCCACATGGGGCTAGGAATATTACCTGTAGCCACCAACGAAAACCTCATGACTCGCAGGGTATTGGATAGAGTACTCAGAAGGGTCTTGCATAGACCAGGGTTTCTCAATCTTGGCACTGTTGGCATTTGGGCCCATATATTCTTTGAGACTGTCCTGTGTATTGTGCAATGTTTAGCAGCATCCCTGACCTCAACCCACTAGATCCCAGGAGCACCCTCTCTCCAGTTGTGACAACCAAAAATGTCCCAAGTGTTCCTGCAAAGTTGGGATAGAGGAGCAAAATCAATGCTGGTTGAGAACCACTGCCCTAAACAGTCTTATCCAGGATAATAAATCTTGAAATCCAGACCTTAGAAGCTGGTTCCAAGTAGCTGTCCTGGAACAAAGAATAAGAATATATAGAATGGCAGACTGGTGCTCCTCTGTGAGTCTACACTGGGCTTTTAAAATTAGAAACCACTGTAAGTTTCATCAAAAAGGAAATGCATACAAAACCTCAATGTTCTTGGATAAACTTCAGAATTATATTATCTGCCCTAAAGATGCCAAACGGGCAAGGTCCCAACAGTTATAAATCTCAACATTTATTTGTGATGCTCTGCTTAAGTGCAGATGGCAGAAGCACCTTTAAAGCCACAATATGAAGAGGGCTTAGATGCATTTTGACTCCGAAGAAGAAACAAGAATGGGATTGTGGGGATAAATGTGTGATTTTTGTTAGCAAATATAAAATTTTTGTAAATATTTTATGAAATGTTTCTTTTTCTCCTAGGAGTTATTAAATTAATGATACATTTTATAATCCATGACTTCTTAGCCTTATTTATTTACTTATTTATTTACGTATGTATGTATGTATGTATGTATGTATGTATTTATTTACATTTAGTTTTAGAGGCAGTCCTGGGGGTTGAACCCAGGAACTTGTGCATGCTAAGCATGTGCTCTACCACTTGAGCTATACCCTCCCCTGAATCCATGACTTCTTAGAGCAAACAGGGTATCCCCTTTTAAAGGTATCTCTGCATAAATTTTTTCTTTGTTTAGTTCAATTATTCAGGAAAGCTTTGTTAAGCACTACTGTCTGTTCTTGGCTGTACTTTTGGGAATTAAGCAAGGGAAGTGTGTTTGTGGTGGTGGTGGTGGGGAGTGGAGCAGGTGTATGATTTAAAGAAAGATGCAGCAACCCAGAAATGTGTTGATGTGAGAGGGGGTGATTAGCAGAAAAACCTTGAAGTGAAATTCATGTAACATAACATACATATTATAAAATTAGCCATTTTAAAGTGAACAGTTCTATGAATACATTCACGATGTTGTGAACCTCCATCTCTTGTTCTGAAATATTTTCATCCTGTTCTGTTGATGTTTTTAATGAAAGGCAGGAGAAAATTTGGACACATCTGAGTTATGTAACTATCAAATAAACTTTAATATACTGGTAAAAAAATATTTATGGGAATACAAATCAGAGAGTCAGGCAGCAAATCAAAACTTATCAGTCACACAAAGAACCAGGAAAATTGATCAATAATAAAAGAAAGACCATTCAATTAAAATAAATATGGAACTGAAAGATGTTAAAATTAACAAAGATACAAAAGCAATTGTTAATACTGTATTCCATATTTTCCAAGAAGTAAGTAAAGACATGGAATTTGAAAAAGCCCATTGAATTTCTAGAGATGAAGACTAGGTTTTTTGTGATGAAAAGTACACTGGATAGAATTAATAACAGTATAAACATTGCAGAAGAGAAGATTACTGACCTTAAAGAAATAGCTATACAAACTATCCAAATGAAACATACCAATTAAAGACATTGTTAAATGTCAAAATGAATTTTTAAAAATGAAGAATCAACCCTAAATACCTGTAAGAAACTCACTTTAAACAATGGGTTGAAAGTAAAAACATGGAGCAATATGCCATGCTGATGCCAATCAAGAAAACTGAAACAGCTATTATAATATCAGATGAAGTAGATTTCATAGCAAAGACTATCCAGGGATAAAGGAGGTTATGTGTCAGTTCATCAGGAGTCAAAGTATAGGGATTAATGTTGGGGAACAGGTTTGGGGCTACTTCTGACTACAGCCCTATAACATGGGAAGAAAAAGAAATACTAGAGGTTTGTTTGTAATTTGGGCCTCAAGTGAGCCTGCTGCCACTTTTCAGTCTTCAAATTAGCTGCCCCCTAAATTCTGTCCAATGATTATAGTAACATTCAATGTGAGAAACACTAAGGACTGTGCTTTATCAATCTTGCCTAGAAACTAAACTTAGTGAAGAATTGTAACTGGAGATACAGGGCTCATGTTCATGATCAGGTTAAGGACTCCATAGGGGTCAGGGTGAGGGTAAGAATCAAGGGTTGAGGTAGGTAGTTCAGAAACTAATCATCCTGCATAAATAGATAAAGCTCAGATAAATCCATGTTAAAGATTACAATGTAGAGATATTTTATTATTTGGTTTGTGGTCTCTGCAAATATTTACTACAGAGAAAACATACACAACAATCCTGAGGAAAATGAACATTGGGTTTCTGATTAGAGATAGCGTTTCTGAAAACCATGGTTTCTCTGATGGCTCCATGTAGCTTTTGAGGTAGATAAACTGTGAGCACACAAAG